GTGTTCACAGATCGCCCAGGGGTTTGCCGGAGGCCCCCGTTCAGTGCAAACCTGCAGACAATTGGCTCCCCCACCCCCCCGTTACAGTTGAAAAGGACTTTTCTCGTCGGGGTGTATGGTTTTTCTTGGTAAAGTCAGAATTTAATGTGCAGATGCTTCAGTCCATAAAATTGTTTAAAGTAATTTTAATATAGACGCTGTTTGATAAAGCTTAGAATCCTCTAAAGATCATTTAGCCAATGGATTTTTAAAAATGACCTACGGGCATGCTAAAGTGGAAACATCTGTTTGGGATTATAGTTGCCAAGTGGCTAGGGTGCCGTTGAAAATGTAAACTAGTGGTATATATTGACAGTCCAAAGTCACTCTCTGTCTTGAAGAAACATGAATACGATCCATAATTTTGAGTCATTGCACTGTCTGCAATATTGAGAGGGGCAGCAGGTTATTCCAGAATTTTTTTTGTATGGGGGGGGAGGGCTTGAAATGGAAATGACCTGAAGTTTGGAAGTACAGCTGTAAAGAATTAGGTTTCAAAGACACAGGAGGTGCCCAATAAATCTTGTTGAATGAATTGGACAGACTGGAAGAGAAGCGTTTACCCCACACCTGTGACTAGTAAGGACCCTTAACCGAAGAGATTATTTTGTAAACCAGGTAAAAGAGTTGAGAGTTTAGGAGGATGTAAAGAAAGTTTTGTCCTGCGCATCGCAGAAGTAACTTTGGAATTGTAAATCGTGCTTGTGTATCAGAGCGACTTATCACATTTTTAAAGAAATGAACATAAAAACTAATGATGGTGCTGGTAAACCCAAAGGGTGACCAGAAGCCCTGTGAGGATAACAATTGTGACAAAACAGAATTAGTAGATTCGAGAAACGATGATTCCATTCACAAAGTTGGAAGGCCGGGGAAAGCCCCAGTGTGTAGGGTGGTGTGTGTGCTCCCTCTGGGCATCGCTGGTTTCTGAGGTGTTCACTTCATGCCCACGACACAAACTAAACCACGCTGGTTCCATTTCAGGGGCTTTGTGAGCGCTTTTATTTTATGCCAAATTCTGTACTTTTTTTAATGGCTTAAAAAGTCACTTCGTAAGTAGGGGTCCTTTCTAGTCTGAAGCGTGAGGACCACACATTCCCACTGTCCAGTCCGTTTGACAAGGTTTATCGGGTCTTTGAAATGTTATATTTAATCAGTTGTGTTTCTTAAACTCTAAGTCATTTTTAAATGACCCCTCATCAAAAAAAAAAAAAAAATCCTCTATTCCCTCAAAATAACCTGAAATAATTTGCTGTTTCTCTCAATAAGCCGTCAGTGGAATGATACGTAACTGGCTCATACCTAAGTTTCTCAGCCCATGCACTTGAAATGATATTTACAAGTGTTTTTTTTTTAAATGATCACCGGTTACGTTCGTCAGTCACGTGGCACTTTTGTTTAGACCTGTCCTCGTGTAGGTTGAAATGTAGGAACGTCAGGTATACGTGCAGCCATTAAAATTAGTTTTCTGGTTTTTATGAGTGAAGGCAAATTTTCACAAGTGATTTTTCAAGTAAAATACTTGGATAAAGCCTTAGCCGCTCATGTCATGATTCAGGACAGTTTTTGGCCGATTCTGATAGTGCTCGCTGCAGATGTCAAGAAGACATTCGAATGAGAGACGTGTTGTCGTGCACAGCAGAAATAGCTTCAGGATAGATCCTGCTTTTAATTCTGGCCTCACTCGAGTCGCTGACCCTTGACAAGTTATTTAATGTTGGTGACCTGTGGTTGTGCCATCTGCAAAATGGGACAGTGAAACCAGTTCAGAGCCACAAGGCTCAGAGTCCATGCGGGCACTTAGTCAATGTCGCCGTTGACACTAAGTCGTCCTACCCAGCTTTCTGGGAGCGCGAAGAACCTCACACACAGCGGCTGCTGGCACGTTGTCCTTAGGTTATTTTTTTCTCCCCAGCTGAAAACGCCTATTCTCTAAGGGCGAGCGTTGCCGAGAGAGTGTTACTGGAGTGTGGCCGAACTGGTGACCAGCACATCAGGAAGTGGTCGGACAGCACGTGCTGGGTGCCTGCTGTGGTCACCACGGTGAGCTGAGCTAGGCGTGGGGCCGCAGAGGGGAGAATCCTGCCTCTGCCCTTTGGACTGTCAGAGCCTAGGGGCCTTCCCCGCATAACTCCGTTTTCTGGGAAGCTTTGTCACCTAGGGGAGCCTCACTGCCCTGTGCCCTTCCAGGCCTAGGGCGGCTGCGAGGACACAGCCCTGCCCGCCACCCCTGCCCCATGGAGTGTTGTCGTAACCCTTCCTTATACACCCGTCTGGCACGTGCCAGACACTTCATATCACCCAGTGTGTGGCACATGGTGCGTGTGCGTGTGCGTGTTTGCATGTGTGTGAAGTTAAAAATAAATTGGATAGTCGCCTGCAAGTACCCCGATATTTTTCCAACGCGATTCCCCCTCCGTCTTCTGGCTGTGGACTCACGGACGTTTTAAACCCGAGCGGGCCTGCCCTGGAGGTCGGTGACCCCATCCCTTGCACACGCGTGGGAGTTGAAGTGCAAAGCTCTGGGGTGTATTTCTTAGTGAATCGGGGGGCAGAGCCAGTCTGCGTCTCTGGGCTCTAGTTAGGACCCCGCACACCGCAGCAGCAGGGGCGTGGGTGTCACTTTGTGTTTGCAGGTGGAAACTGCTCCGTGTACCGTTGCTGGCAGGCACCCTCACGGGGTCCTCGGTGGGCCTTTTCCGACCGTGACAGTTAGTGCGGGACATAGGCCTCTTCTAACAAATAAAGTAGAACGACAGTAAGTAGAAACTGTCATCTGCCTCACTTACAGCCTGCGTCCAAAACCGGAGCTGTTCGCAATACGATTTTTAAATGAAGTGACCCGCTAATAAACACATAATAAGTTTTTTTTTTGCCAGCTTTCGTTTTCATTTAATCTCAGAAATTTCACCTATGGTGCTTTGCCCTAAGTTGTCTTTAACGTGTAGGTACCGTTACGGATAGGTCGAGACGAGACGCTTCTGAGGATGCGGCCTATCTGAGCATGAAGTAAAGCTGGGCCTTTTTTCTAGAATACCGCTGTTTGCTCGTGAGCTTTAGCTGGCAGTTATTACTGTTTGATCCTAAGCCCTGTGACTGGGAACTCCCTGAGATGGTGCACAAAATTCGAAGTGCCTCAGAGTCTCGACAGCTCAGTGGACAGAAGCCACCGAGACCCACCAGGGCGCAGGGGCAGGCGCTGGCGTTGGTGTCCACCTCCCTCTCCGGCTCCCAGGGGGTCGTGAGCAGGGCCCCGAGCTTTCTGAGCCTCTGTGCTCGTCTTTCTGTCGCCGAGGTGTTCCTGGCTTTGTCTGTTTCAGAGGGTTCTTTTCCAAATGCGATCGTTCTCGGAAAGATGGCCCGATCCCGACTGAGTGACTTACCCGAGAAAACCAGTCGGTCCGCGGTAGACAGGTGATCGGAACCTTGGCCTCCTTTCGTGCTTTCTCCACGAACGTTCTTAACCTCTTCGTAGAAAAGTGTTTTGAGAGATAGTTGGTGTGGATTGACTTTAAATCTGGTAACGACATTTGAGACACACAGTAGACCTTAGTAGCTCCTGACGCATTGTTCAGTATTATTAACCCCAAGCCAGATCCCTTCTGTGACTCGCTTGACTTTTGACCTCCCCTGTTAACTTGATAAATGGCACGTGAGTCACGAGGTTGACCTGAGAGAG